AATTTTTATACACTCGGCTAACATGGCTTTTAATTGATGTATTTAGATCATTTGCATTTAAAGTAATTACTAACATGTTAAGACCTAAATCTACCATTTTATTATATTTTTAAGTTGTTCCCTCTGGGTTTTGTTCCTGTCTCCCTTTTCCTACCTTCCTCCGGGGTGTTACTTGAAAGATTTTTGGAAATCCATCTTGATTTCTGTAAAGATTATTTTGAGTATATCACTTATATATCCATGTGAATATATATATATATGTATGTGTGCACATGCATTATAATATGCATGTGTAACTAAATATATTCCACTAGTATAAATATTTTACTTCTTTCCTACAGATTGAGATCCTGAATCTGGATGGTATTCCTCATTGCAGTCCACTTCTAAAACCTTCTGTTGTGTTCATTCTAGTTGGTTTCATGTATTGGTCAGTTTGGAGTCTTCCTGGAACTTCGTAAAGCTTATTTAAATAGTAGTAAATAGTGGAATATAGAAACCTTACCACTTAGGTTCCCTTACAAATATCCCTTTTAAAATATACTTGTCCTAAATATTTTCTCTACCTACATTGAGAATCACATTTTGCTTTCAACCATCAAAGGCGAAGGATAGTCTGTTACATTTCCCGGATACTCATCTCTTCCATAGTCCTTTCTTCATTCCTCGTGTTCCAAGTTTCATTCTGTTATCACTTCATTTTAGTCTGAAGAACTTCCTTTGGCAATTATTTTAGGGACAGTTTACTGGTGAAAAATCACTTCAGTTTTCCTTCATCTGAAAATGTATTTTACCTACATTTCTAAAGAGCATCATTGAATGTAGAATTCTGAATATAGAAAGTTCTTTTCTTTCAGTACTTAGGAAATACGGTGTCACTCCCTTCAGGCTCCATGTTGTCTGATAAGAAATACACCAGCATTCTAATTGTTTTTCCCCATAAGTAATGTATCATTTGAGTGCTTCCCATATTTTTCTTTTTTGTTTTTCAAAAATTTTATGATGATGTATTTTGGCTTGAATTTCTTTGGGTTTATCCTGTTTGGGATTTCCTCAGATTCTTGATCTATTTTCAAGTTCACTGATTCTTTCCTTTGTCATTTCCAATCTCCTATCAGGCCCACTCAAATAAGCTTTTAAATTTTATTTTTCAGCTTAAAATGTTTCAGTTGATTCTTCTTTCATCCACTGCTTCTTTCCTGTGACTTTATTTTTTCATTTGTTTCAAGAGTATTCACAGTTGCTTACTGGAGCATTTTTATGATGACTGCTTTTAAAATCCTTCACAGATTCTTGTCTTTTCTCACTGAAGTGAGATGAGATGTTCCTGCATGTTGGTGTGATGAGTAATATTTGATTATACTCTGGGTTTTGGGGTTTTTATGAGAATCTAGTTCCTCTTTAAGTCTTCTAATTTGGCAGCTAGTTATCCTATTTGGTCAAAGACTGAGCACCACCTACAGCCTCTGTGGACACTTTGCCTCTGGGCTGGCAGGAAGGGGAGATGTGCCAGCTCCTTGCTAGAGGACAGGGATGGAGGTTTAGAGTTCTGTGTACACTGTGCTGGGCGTCGTAACCAGCGGGGAGAGGAAAGTGTGATTCATTTGTGGTATTTGGAGTAGGGCAGGTATTGTCAAAAGGATTCTGTTCTGCTCAGATTCCCCTTTCCTGTTCCTTTGGGTACAGACAGCAGTCTTTTGTCGGGGCTTTTATTTTGTCTGCTTCTTTTGTTAGTATCTCTGGGCAGTTCCAAACCTGTGCCCTTCCGCCACCTGGAACCAGTTTAAACTGTGAGGGAAACACAGCGACATCTGTTGGACACAGTGAATTACTAGCTAAAGGTTGTTCAGTTTCATTATTAGATAGATGGTGCTACATTCCTTTCCATTATGCAATTTCTTTGTAAAGCTGAGCGTTTTCGCTGCTGTGGAAGAAAAGTAAATACTGCACAAAAATCAGTTTGGAGTGTCCAGTCTGATTCCCAAAGCTTAAAAATTTATTCAGTGCCCAACAGGCACACACATCCCACTAGTAACTAAGTGTGGTTATTTTAGAATGAAATAAAAATATTTTTTTTTCTGTCGACCTATATTTTTTTTTCAAGGAACTCCTAAGCTGTTAAGATACAAATCATAATTTAAATTGTCTGGACCTATGCTACTTAATATGCAGAATTGTTGGCTTTTTTCTTTTGCCTAGGGGTGCAATGAAACAATGAGCGGCACTGAAGGCACTGAGAAAGCCTGGGAACCTCTGACTAAAGGATGAATTCCTGCTGCTTTCTCTATTTCTTCTAAGTAATGGGCCAAGGCCCTGGAGGGGTGTAGCTGTGTGCAGTAGAACCAGGAAATTCTCAGACCTAAGTCTGCATCTTACTGGGGATAGCTCATGACCCCCTCTCCACCCTGTCCTCCCCAATTCGCTCATCTTACCGTATTCGATGCATCCTGTCCTGATGAGGTCTGGCAGTTCCCGAGGAAAGGTATGCTAAATGGCCACTGTGTTAGCAAAGGTGCCTGAACTTTCTAAATAGTCAATAATAAACAGCAAGTTTTGATCAACCCCTAGAAGACTGGTTTACTTTTAATCTCTATATGGAAAATTATATTACAAAATTGTTTTATGAAGAGATGATCAGAGAGTGTGCAGCCAAAAAAAATAATAATGTAGAAAAAAAGTATATTAAGCAGGTAGTAAAAAGTGTAAAAAGCAGTTATTTTAGGAACTATCAATGATGGTTTTAGTTTGATCAGCTTTATAAAATTTGAAATTTGTATTGATTTTTCAGTCTAAATAAATATCCCCTCTCATATCTAATTTTGTATTCAAAAATTTGTAATATTTTTCTATTGACAATAGACATTTGATTTTTTAGGGCAAGTTCTTCATAATACATGAACTAGTCACCTAATCCCTCCCCCTCATTTACGGTAAGGAATTTTGCTATTTCAGCTACAACAGCTCTAAGTATCTAAGCGCTGTCTAACCTGTAACTGTGTGACAGCTCGATATAACATATGTAATAGCCCTGTAGCTGTAGCATCTCTAATCTGCATTGCCAGAAGCCACAATCTTCTGAAACAATGCATTTTATTCTAAATGCTACACACTGTATAATCTATTTGAAGACCTCTTAAGGAACAAGTAGGAATTCAAAGTTAAATAATTTCAATCTGAAATGGGGACACTATCAGCAAAATGCAGGATGTGGGAAACTCTACAAACCACCTGGTTTCTTTAATTTGAAAAAAAAATTGGTAAGGAAAAAAAAGCAATGGGGGGAGGGTACAGCTCAAGTGGCAGAGTGCATGCTGACCATGCATGAGGTTCTGGGTTCAAACCCCAGTACCCCCTCTAACAAATAATAATAAATAAACCTAATTACCGCCCCCCCCAAAAAGCAATGGAATGAGAACTATTAAAAAATGACATTCATGAGGTAGTTGGAAATCATCTGATTATATATTTGATATTAAGTCATTACTGTTACTTCTTAGATATGAGACGGTTGTTAATAGTAGTTATCCTGTAGAAATATGTAAATTATTTATAAAATTATATATCTTTGATTTGTTTCAAAATACAAATGGAGAAGTCGATAAGGCAGGCATCCTATAGTTAAAGTTTGAGGGCTGAGTCAGGGACACATAGAGTTCATCACACTATTGTCCTCTTTATGAGTGTAAGCTCACAATTCTGTATAATAAAAAGTATTAAAATACTCAATCTGATTGTCAAACCCAACAGACACAACTCATATAAGATGCCAAGACCATCATACTGACGGCAGACTCTAATACGTGCTTGTAGTTCATGTCTTGGGGAATTAAAGTCTTGTTAAATATCAAGAAGTAAAATCATTTCATTGTTTCTACTACTAAAATGAAAAGTTGTATGTAAATTGTATAAAATTAGATACTTTGCCTGGTAAAAAAAATGGAATGTTTTATAATTTTATATTTTATTAAGCATGCCTAAATATTTCACTCATGGTAAATATGTGTTTTAAAGAGATCAAGTAGCATTTATAATAGAGGAAGCATTGTTATTGCCAGCATGAATGTAAAGATGATATGAAAAACTATCATCTGTCTTGTCATTATAATAAGAAAATAATTAACATTATGAAATTTTTATAGGGCAAAAAAAGTTTTTTTTTCCAAATGAGACCAATACTCTACTTACACATTAGAAATAAGCCAGTACAAAATACATTCTAACAAATTCACGTGATGCTAAAAATCCCACCACCCACACCCCACCCCCAATCTTACCCATCTGTATTCTCTACTGGCAGCCCCTGGGTCGATTCAGCTTTTCTGGGCCTCCTGCGAGAGCCTGAGGGCGAGGGTCACCAGCCCTGAGGGCAAAGGTGAAGGTGACTGCTGGTACTGCCCCAGACCACCCTCCAGTTCTCAGTCTCCTCTGCCCACAGGTGAGCCTGCTCCAGCCCCTACCGGGGGCCTCAACGCCCAGGGCAGGAGGTGTAGGTGCATTGAGAGGCATCTCCCTTCACCTGGCAGAGCTGTGGGCTGCCCCCTGGATCTCTCCCGGGGCCGCTCCTGTGCAGTGGTAGGTACTACAGGGTGAGGTCCCCAAGCGACCTGATGTCCTGTCATGGCAGGTGGTGAGCAGGTACAGGTCATGGAGCTGCTTTGGGTGTCACTCGCGGTTAGGGATGGGGACAAAGCCATCAGAGGAATCTGGGTTTTCGCAACGAGTCCTTACCCCTTCATCTTGCGATGTCTGAAATTGTTGAATCCCTGCTGCTACTTGAATCTGTCTCCCTCTAGTTTCTGTGTTCTCCTGCCTTTCGTGTCATTCTCTCTCAATCACATTTATGGGCTACAATTCCTCCGACTCACCCTTTAGTCATCTGTGTGTGATCAGGAAGGGGTTCAGAGTCTGCAGGCTTCTCCTTTTAGGATTATAAAGAGGCCGCAGAAACTGAAAGGAGATCTCAGGCATGGTTGGCCCAAACCCAAAGTCATCAACTTTCCCATCCACTCCTTCCAGAACTATGCAAATCTACTGCAGAAATAAAAGGCATCAGTTTAGCAGACACTTCACAAGGAAATCATTTGACTTTATATGATTTTATTTTTCCCAGAATATCACGACACCTTTCCCTCGAGATGAACCTTAATGTGGTAAAATCATTTTTGACGAACCAGGCTGAAGGACTCTAACAGTGACCCCAATAACTTTTTGGATGAACTCCATAGGTTGTAAGAACTTGAAATCTTGGCCACCATGGGGACTCTGAAGTCTTTCTTCCTTAAAGTTTTGGGAGGAATAGTCCAGCGAATGGTTTTGGGTATAGTCTCCAGTGAGTCTGCCGGTATACAGGCATAAAAAAATGGCTGGCTTGGTTTTCCTTCAGAAAGGAAGTCGCTGTCCTCTGGAGGAGGTTCTGAGGCTGACTTATGTTCACCTGGGAAATAATCCGATCTTTCTGACTCAAAATCACGCTCTTTCTTCTTTCTTGTGCGTTTCTCTTTACTCTGTGTATAACTGTAGTCACATTCCCAAGGAATGTTGTTCTTTCTAAATGAATCGCATTTGGCCTTCTTTCTTTCTTTGCTTTCTGAATGCCTGCGAGGTTTGCCTTGGCTTTTTGCAAGATGTAATTTAATATTTGATTCCGTTAAGGGAACTAAGGAGTAATTTTTTCTGCTCTTAGTAGTCTGTGAAAGCTTCTCATCACTGAATGGAATGGAAGATGATATAGACAGATCTACAGTAGTTAAGGAACTGTTACACGAGTCACGAGATTGCATTTTGGAGGATGACCTATATTTCCTGCTTTTGTGGGAGTCACAAGAAGGTGGTGTCACAACTGAGGAATGTTTTCTACGGCCTCTAATATGATGGGAACCTGTATCTTCAGTGTAAAATGGTTTCAGATCAGTTTTGATTTTTTTCTTCCTGTAGAGATTTGCCAAAGGCATGCCTTTCTGTAATTCAAGTAGAATATTTTGTGATTCCTGACTTAAACAAGAGTTGGCTTCTAAAAACACATATTCTTCACTGTCATGTGCATCAAGAGCTGAGCATCCCCCCCAGGTTTCTGAACTCTCAGTATTTGTGTGACTATCAGTAGAATCTTCAAAATTCTGAATTGAATGGGAATCAACCAAATCATGAGCATTTCCCCAAGTCTTTGAATCAGCAGATTCACATGTATTTGTATCTTGAAACCATACGTGACATTGTTTGTCTTTCCCTGGAGGCACGTGAGATTTTAAATTTGAAAGAGCCGTAGTGTCTTCCTGCACTGTGCTGTGTTGATCAGGGTCAGAAGAACACACCTGCTGGGGCTCCAAGAATGTATTGATCAGTGATGAATTTTCACGGGGACTTTGCTTTTTGAAAGAGATATGTTGTTCTAGCTGTCCGGTATCAATGGGAAGACCACCACTTTCTCCACTACTGTCCACTTTTTTACATATTGCAACTGTGTGTAACTTAAGAATATGTTTGGGAAGTGTGTTCGGCTTAGGGAACATACTTTTGACTGGAAGCCCCAGGAGAAAACGAGTGTATTTGTATCGTAAATCAAGATCTATTTGATGAAGAGATTTTTCCTCAAAAAGTAACAAAATTCTGTTTTCTCGTTTTGGTACTTTGACATCAGAATGAATACATGTTGATAAAAGTTTCCTTCTATCCTGAGCACTGGCCATTGTGTAAGATTCTCTTACAATTCTGGGAAAGGTTTTCATTTGAACCTCCAATGTTTTCCTAGAAAAGTGTATGAGAAGTTTGTCTTTTTCTTTTACTGGGTAGTTTTGGAGAATACAAGGCAATGGCATTTGTCCAGCAGAAATTAATGAAGGTGTTCTACTCTCTAGCGCATGTATTCTCTTTAGCTTTGTAATAATCTCCTCACTGCCACTCGAAACATTAACAGTCAGTGTTTTCACACAGCTGACAAGAGGTGAGTCTTTTTGGTATCTGTGTTTTAGGGTGAGTTTTACAGTATCAATCCCTCTGAGAGACAAAAAGCACGTTTTTCTATGTCTTTGACTGAGCCTCCAGCTGTTATGTTTCGAAATAGCCGGTTTTGGATAACAGCTGAGCCTTTGGAAGGATTGTTTCCTCATCTCTGGTGTCAAATTCAGATTTATTTCAGGTGCTTTTGACTCTAAATGATTCGTGAGCTTGTTTTTTCCTTCGCAAGTAAAACTTTCTACAATAGGCTTTGGCTGCACTTTGGAATGTGTTATTGTGGACGTTGTATCTGCACACCCTGCAGAAGGTGGCGCCTCCCAGCTACCAGGTTTATCGTCTTCCACTTTTTCTAGTATATCAGCATAAATTTTGTCTTGGACCATATTTTTCACCTGGGCTTCGAAGACATCTTTAATTGCTTCATAAAGAGGAAGTAAACTTTCTGCTCTTGGACTATCTGCCACTATTTCTATTTCATTACCTTTAACTTGGGATGCTTCGGGCTCAGTTCCTGGAGGAGTTTTCTGTTGCTGAAGCGTTTGTGTGGCTGTGACCTGTACAGGTTCACGCTGATCTCCATCCCCAGGTGGTGGGGCATGCTCTGCGGTACCAAACAGCTGAGTTTCACACGGTGGTTCTTCTACCCCCAGCGGGGGAATATTCGTACTGAGGGTACTTTTCATGTGGGTTTCCACATTTTCGTTTGGATCTTCAGGCATGAATGGACAATCTGTAGGTGTTTGAATGGATTTTGGTGCCTTTTCTTGCTCGATCGTAAGCAAGTCAGGCTCTTTTACAATGCTTGCGATGTCATGGCCTGGAACAACCCTTTCTTTTGTTTGTGGAGTTAAACTTTGATTTGCTTCACTGCTGAGGTTTGCTTCTGACTTGGCACTAGGAAGCTTGTTCATTTGTTGCTCATCCACCACGAAGGGCTGAGAATCCTGAGGAACTGCGCTTGTAGAATTCTGGTCGCCTTCTTTTACAGTGCTTGAGCTGTCCCTCTTGACAGCTGTACTAGCGTTTGGTGATTTATGCGGAAATTTTGAAAGACAAGTTCTCTTTGCTCTTTCTAAGTTTGTCTCAGGTTCTACTGTTTCTCTAGTCTGAGATGGACTCATCATGGAAATAGAAAGACTTCTGATAAAAATTCCTGAGGCTTCTTCTCGCCACAAAGATATTTTCTTTGATCTGTTAAAGTTATACTCCAATTTCTTTCTGTTGCTTGGAGTACCACGTCCTGTGTTGCCTAGAATCTGTAGAACAGGATGCTTTGGGATTTTCATACTTGAATATTTGGGGCTCAATTCTCTTTTCACATCTGCTATTGTTAATCTGCCTTTCTGACCTCCAAAATTGGAAGAAACTGGAATATAGGCATAAAATGAATCCAGCATATGTTTTTGAAACATATTTTGTAGCTGAATGCTTTGTTTTGTGCAAGACACTTCTCGTTCCTTTTTATGTTTTTGTTTCCTTGGGTCGTGGTTTGCCATATGAGTGACGACCTGAGCCTTGATTTGTGGTTCCTCTGCCTTTAGAGATGCCATGCTCAGGTTTACTGTGTTGCTTGTGTCCATTTTTATTTTCTCCTCCTCCAGATTGACGGTGGTGCGTTTGTGCATTTCTATTTTGTCCTCTTCCAGGTGGACGGCTATATTTGTGTCTATTTTTAATATCCCTTCTTTCATGTCTAATTTTTTTTGCTCCAGATTTATAGTTGTGCTTGTGGCAGTTTCATTTTTTTCCTCCAGATCACCAAACTGAGGTGGAAAGTTCCAGAAGGAAGAAAGAGACTTCTGAAGCGACTCTGGGTTGCGCTCCTTTTGTTCTGGAACAAACAATGCCTGACTTTTTTGCCCTTTTAGGGCATCAAACTCTGTAATATCCATGTGCATTCTTGGTAGTACTTGTGCTCCAGGGTAGACTGTAGTTTGCTTATGCACATCTATTTCTAGCGGTGTCCTCTGCTTTCCATTTTGAAGTGGAATCTTCAGAGAAAGGCTAGAATCCACCCTGGTCTGCCGCCCACTCCCAGACCGCAGCACCATTTGCTTTTCCGTGACAATTTCTTGTTCTATATTCGGGGGGGCATTTGACTCTGTGATACTCATTTTCTCAACTGATTCCTTTGCCAGCACTTTGGGAGGGGACGTTTCGCTTATTTTTTCATTATTTTGTCCATCTTCCTCTGGTTTATCAAATTTACATGAATCTGCAGATCCTGGAGACGCCTTTGATAAAGTCTCTTGTTGGTGGGCATCTTGCTCTGAAGCAGAAAATCCTTCTGAACTGACAGGGGTGCCACGCGTGGCACACATTTCCTTGGATATTTTCCTCGGCAGTGAAACTAAGTCCTGAGGACTTATTCTATGGCTCAGGCTATTCATTATTTCCGTTTCATTCTTCAGACTTTCAATGTTAGTTAGATCTATCGCGGGGAAGGAAAGAAACGTGTAAAATGTGCTGTTCTGTATTTTTCTCGCTGAGCCTCTTGCCCTGTGAAGAAATATTCCAGCCTTTTCCCACCTCTTATGGTACCAAGTCCTGTAAAATAGAGGCCCTCATGCTGTGAATTTAACTCACTCAGATCTCCTTCAGATTTGACTCGTGGAGGCTCCCTCCTTTGCTGGATGCTGATCATGAAGTTGGAGGTCCACTGTCGCTTGGCCTCTTCTCCTGGAACCGAGTGTTCAGCGTTCTTAACCAGTTCACTGTCGCCACTAACTGACTCTCTGATTGCTGTTTCCTGGGTGTCTGATGATTCTTGGAGATTTTGCTGTGGATAAGAGGATCCCGTGATTCCTGGCATATCTTTGTCCATTTTGCTCCCTGAATCTAGATAAAGAGGTGCTGACGGGATAGAAAGGAAAGTCCTTGTCAGAACCACACCTGGTTCATCTTTACCTTTGTGTAAACGCCTCCCTGGCTCTTTAATAACATTCAACACAAATTCCTTTGTACCAAGGACATGTGAAATTGGGGAAAGTCTTCCCTCTTTGTGATGCATCCTGATCCGCATGTCTACTTTTTTCATGTCATACTTTTTTCTTTCTCTGACGTGTGTTGTTTTCCAGTTCCTTTTGAATCTGCTCTCTTCTCTGCATCTGATAATGCTGAAAGCATCAGTGGAAGCAGGGAAGGTCTTTTAATTCCAAGTCTTTCTTCATCTACTTGTGTGCCTTTATCCAGTTTCAGCTTAATTAGAGGTCTGGAAACATACATTTTTCTTAACAGAGAGGATCTTTTAATTCCAAGCCCTCCTTCATCTACCTGTGTGCCTTTATCCAATTTCAGCTTAATTTGAGGTCTGGAAACAAGTATTTCTGATGATTCTTGGAGATTTTGCTGTGGATAAGAGGATCCCGTGATTCCTGGCATATCTTTGTCCATTTTGCTCCCTGAATCTAGATAAAGAGGTGCTGACGGGATAGAAAGGAAAGTCCTTGTCAGAACCACACCTGGTTCATCTTTACCTTTGTGTACACGCCTCCCTGGCTCTTTAATAACATTCAACACAAATTCCTTTGTACCAAGGACATGTGAATTGGGAAGTCTCCTCTTG